GATTACCCTGTAGGTGAAGGTTGCTGCTGTTGTCAATTATGAAAAAGAGTATCGAGGACTGGAAGCTGTCTATTTATTAGGCTATAAGTGAGGTATAAAACAATTCCTATTCAGAGATCTGTAACCCTTTGATATGAATTGAAATATAAACAAATGCACACCGTAGCCACTCTGGTTGTGTCTTCATTAGTGTCTTTTTTGGAGCAGTCCTGCAATTTTGAAGCAAATCCCGTAACTGTTGCTTGTCATATGCTGATTGATATGTAGCCTTGGGCTTGAGGGAAACTAAACTGAAATTTTTATTCCAGAAGTCTACAAAATTGTCTTTTGGCCAACGCTGAGCCATGAATGTATGTGGTGGATACATCTGGCCCAGGGAGCCCTACCTAAAATAAAATGCCCTGGATTTCACATGGTGAAGATACGGGGTCTCAGCATCATTAACTGCTTTGATTTAGTGATCTGCCAAATTACTTGATAATATTATTTCATTTTTGCTCCCTAATACCTCATGATGTTTTATGTGCCTTTCTTTGCATGTTCTCATCATATCTCCTATTCATTCTTCACGTACCACGACATACACTTTGTAGAGTTGCTGTGTAGGCATAAGACTCAGGTTATTTTGAACCAAAGAGAAAGAAACCCAAAGGTAAAGGATCAACCTAGCGAGCCCATTGTCAAAGAACTCCTTTTCCTTGTTTCAGTACATGCAATTTGTGTGCAAGAGTAACAGCAAGAGACATCGGTCCTCCAATAAGATGATCTCAAGTAGACGAAGTTTTTCAGTTTTTACAATCCACAATTTATATTCCATGTGAAAGGCACAGCAGCAAAATCTGTCTCTTAAAGCAGATTTTGTAATATTCAATTACACGAGCTTAGTTGCGCCCATTTTTTTTAATAGTCTAAACACTGGGTTGTGTTACTAATTTCTTTCTTTAAATGGATTTAGATTCCAGTCTTATGAGGGTGACATGCTGTCCCTGATCAAGACATGGTGAAGGAATTAACTATGGTGACGTTTTCATATTTGAGATTAAAAGAAGACACACATCTGCCAAATGCAAGCTGAAGGAAAAATCTTGTTACTTTTTCTAAATCCTCTGAAAGCAGCTGGATTTTTAACTTATCCAAATTGTGAAATTTTGTTAAGATTGATGTCCACATAACAGTGTAGAGAAGGACAGAAAATCTTAAGAATTCAGGATGTGTGCTAGTCTCATAGGAGAAAAGGCAGAAAATAAAGGAAGAGTGCATTTTCTCTGTAGTGGAATAAGCCAATTACTTCCCTTTAACTTCACCCTTATTCAGATGCTTGTTTAAAGACTGCAGATGTTACTGACTATGATTTGTTTTTCTCATTTATTCTGGATACATTTCTTATCTTACTGGGTTTTTCCTGCACAAAATCTGAGCAAAATTTAGAGGCTCCACAGTGTCATCTGATTACCTTCCTTCTGCTGTCTCCGCTGGCTCTTCAACTACCTCAGCCCAGCATGAGAATCAGAACCTGGAATAATGTGCCTGGACCTGGAAGATGTAAAGGGAGATTTTCACCCTTCTGCCATACCAGTCATGATAGTCCTGTCTGGCTTAGCATGAAAGCCTCGTGTGTTTGGGATCACCTTGGAGTCTGGGCACAGTAATGGGGCGAGTGAGATGAACCTATTTACTGGTTTCTAAAGCGCTAAGAAATTAATATTGTTTGCTTTGGTGCATAGTTCTTGACCCATCTGCTGTAAGCAGCATAAGAACAAGAATCAAATATAAACTGTTCTAAGGCCATGCACCATGGCAGGTGGCCTTTGCAGAATGTGCTTTCAGTTACACTGCATCTCCCGTTTGGGAATAAGGAACATCATCAAAGAGGCAGCAATAGATGTGGAAGTGGAGTTAGGTACATTATCATCAAATACAAAGGTGATGCTTATTTGTACACTCAGTTCTGTACACTTCTTCTATTACAGGACCATGTGCCTACTAACACTGTGATTTTGCAAAGTTGGATTTCTTTTGAAATATGTGTAGTTCTCTATGGGATACTTCATGCAGGATGTTTTGCATCCTGATTTATGGAGGACTAATCTCTGCAAGATCTGTGACTCTTGCTGAAGAAATACCCACAAAGCAAATATATGTATCTAAAATGATGTTATCTTGGATAGCTTCCTGTGGTAGTAGAATGGTAAACAGCAAAGCTGTATCCACCCTTACTCTAAATTTGCTCTGAGTTACACCTAGTAGGGACTTATCATTACGATCACACTGGCAATGACAGTGTGCAGTGTGTATTTCGAAGAATTTGCACAAATAATGTGTGTCCCCAGATCAATTTAAAATGCAGAGTACCCCTTTCTAGTTTTCTGTAGACTGCTGAATCAAAATGCAGCTACAAGAAAGGAGATGAGCAAACATTTGAATGATATGAGATGGCAGCTACAGTTGGCTTAGAGAACTGTTCTGCCTCTGGCACTTTGGATCATGAACTTCATCACATCCAAGAAATGTTAACAGCTCGGCCCTGGGGCTTTCGCAGCTCTGGGTGTCTTTGTGGGGTTTGTACTGGCAGCTCCCCCATCAGTGGCTCACATGTGGGAGGGTTCCAGCCTGCCATTCTTTTGCAGAAGCACCGTGATGGGCATCTGAGTGACATTTTAATTTTATAATGAAAGCGCCATTAAATCAGTAAAGGGAAAAATGCCTGTGTTTGTGGCACAAGATATTTTGTGTGACCACTGAGGTCATTTGAGACAGGCCTGCTGTTGAAATAGTTACACGAGTTTGCCAGCAATGACTCACTACCGTGGTGGCTACAGATAAATTCCAATTGCTTTCTACTTGTTTTTGAAGATTTTGGTGTTAGGCGTTTCTGTATGTTGCCTAAACAATAAAATTCCAGCAACACTTAGGCTTGCTCGATAAAGATTTCCCACATTTGGTCATATCTGAAGTGCTGCAGCAAACTGTGATCCATACATCCTGCTGTCCCTTTTGACTGTGTCAGAAGGGGGTATATTTTATCACCACTAACCCCCTCAGTTTTGTCAGCAACAGGCCTTTCCTTGCTGTGCCTATTCCTGAAGAGGTCCTGACTGGAGTCAGAACACAAATTGTTCAAGTGCAAGTCTTCGGGATTCAAAGTTCTAGATGCTCACATGTCAGATGCTTTCTCATCTCACATTTAGAGAAATGTATTATAATATCACCTATGAAAACCAAACTCGTGGATTCGGGTTGTGCTAGATAATATTACACCTGCATCTCTCTCTCCATGTCTGTATAATGTATTTAGAGATATCTAAACTTTGTTGTAAGTAATGGTCAGTGTAAATGGCCAAATGTATTGTTCTGCCATCCTACAGATGAGGCATTTGATAGTAAAATATTATGTGTTTGGATAGTAACTATGCAGCATATCTGTGGCAGAATTAGAATTGGATCCATGTTCCTGAGCTTTTTCTGGTGCTTTTTGTCTGAAAAGGTCTTAGGACATCAAATACTTACAGTGACTGTTTATTTTCTCCAGTTTATTTTCTCTTCCGGATGTTAAAGGTTTAGATTTTCATTCAGCAGAAATAGATCCCATTCTTAAAGAACTATAGAGGTTCTGTATATATGTATATATAAAGTAGTGAAGGGGTTCTGTGAATATAGAGAATTCTCCTCTAGTTTAAGAACTATAGGAGGTTTTGTGCTGTGTGCATCTAGTTGTAAAATTAACTGTCCATCTGTTGTTCATCCAGTCGGAACTGGCTACTGACCTCCTGGGATGTGATGCAGGACCAGTACAGGAAAAACAGTTACTACCAGTTCAGCATGGAGTTACTGTCATTCCAATATGTAATTTTGAAACTCCCTGAACCCATGCTCAGTGCATTTGGTAGTAGTTTGCTGGTTAAGTGATATTGATGATGCCTGGAAAAGAACAAGGTTGTGATAGCAGTGGGTTCTTCAAAATTATTTTTGTGGGTCAACTCTGCAGATCCGTACTGTCATCTTCATTTGACTCCTACTGTTGACCTGTAGGAAAAAAACCTTTCATTACTTGCCTACTGCTAACAGAATGGGGTAGCAAATACAGTATTATTGATCGAGTCTTTGCAGTAGTTGACACTTGTGGCTTCCACTGAATGTCAAGCATGGAACTGTAAATGCTTTTTTTTTTTTCTTTGCAGGAATATTAACAATTCTCATACTGTGGCTGACATTAAGGCCTCTAATGTTACTTGGAAAACACAAGTGAATTTAACCCTTGTTAATGTTTTCACAAAATGGATGAATGTAAAAATGTTACAGGTAGTGAATAGGGACACAAATAAAATTAAATGTTTTTTCCGGATCACTCAGTAGGTCTATGGTAAAAGTATGCACTGGACTGAAATATCTTTTATTGAGTTGTTAATCTTGTTCCTGTACAAAAAATGAATGAAAAAAACCCCCAGGATTCTAAATTTGGCCCAAAAATCGCTAGCCAAGCTGAATTAAGACACAACAAAGCAGCAGCAATGTCATCTCTTCCAAATACTGAAAGCGCTCATCCCTTGATGATAGCTTGTCAGAACTGTTTGGAGTTTTGTTTCAAATGCTTGAAAGGTATCTTCTAAGTAGTTTTCTAGATAATACTTTTCTATAATTTTAACTTTGATCATAACTTAAAAAAATAGCTAAAGCAAAGTGCCATTTATGGTTTTTACCTTTTAAAAGGTTGAAGTCTGGAATGATATATTGATATTTTTCTTCCATCAACTTTACCTTGCTAGGTATAAAAATCTTTCAGCAAAACTAGTGATTTAGTGGTATTTCAGATATCTTTACCCCTCTCCTTTGTTTGTTGTTCTCCTGTGATGCTGTAGTGCAACAAATAAATAAGGGCTGTGTTTGCTGTTACTCCCTGCAGCTGTTTTTCAGCAAAACTATAAGGAGAAAAATAACTTGGATGATTGCAAAAGCCAGTTCGTAGCCAGGAGAGTCCTAATTCTCTACTTGTTTTTCCACAGGCCTCCAGAATTGGCATCAAAGTATGCAAATTTCTCTGAGGGAGTGTGCAAGCCAGGCTATGCCTCAGCGCTCATGACTGTCATCTTCCCAAAGTGAGTAAATACTGTGGGGGTTTTTTCCCCACTTCCCCTGATGACTTCTCATCCTTCAAGGTGGGTCATCTGCAGAGTTTGTCTTCAGAAGTGTCATCACTCAGTCACTTGATTGGTTCAAGGGGAGACCTGTGTTGACATTCTGGGCAATTTGAGTGGTAGTGGTTTAATTGACTTCAGTCTGACCGGGAGTTTGCTCAAAGAGTAGAGCTCTGGGTGTTGAGTAATAAAACAGATTATGTTGTCAGTGTGTGATACAGATGTGTGGTCAAGCTAACTGCTGCTACCTGATGATGCAACAATGAGGAAGCTTTAGTCATGAAGTCAGAGATTAAATTATCTGGAATAGTAAAGTTTTGTTGTTGGTTTGGTTTTTGTTTTTTTTTTTTTTAATTCTTGGGAGAACAGGGTAAAGCATCCCTCGGGTGCCTGGAGTTTGCAGAATTGCTGAAAGACAGTTCAGAAGATAGATTGGTAGGAACATTATTCTGTTAAGGCTCAAGGATTTCAGTTTGGTGCATCCAATGGAAAATTTGATCAAATTGTTATTTGACCTTTGCACGAGCTTCTAATACATGTGAAAAAGATGCTCTGGTGCAATGATCTCTTTGGCAAAAGAGGTTGTGGACTTTTTAACATAACTGGCATTTTTCCAAGAGATATGTTTTATTTCTTTTGAGTAGGGAATTTCCATGACTTGCACATATGGAGGTGGCCTTCAAGCCAAGCCTGAAACTAGTGGTATCTTCTGTCTTTGTTTTTGTTGGCAAACATGGTATCAGAGAGCTCTTTAAAGTAATAAAATAAAACTGACATTGCCTTGTAACCAGCAGATACTGCAATCAGGTCTTAAAAACAAAACAAAGCACTAAGGTTCTCCAACAACAATTCAGTAAAACAAAAAATTGTCAATATTATCTTCTGTGTGAATTTTGGAACTCTGGTTAGAATATAAATAAATACTAGAGCTGAAGGTAAGTACTTTTAAATCTGTGTTTGTGTACATATTAAATGTAAATAGTATAGAAGAGAATAAACTCATATTGCTAAAATATTAATCTTATTTTAATTTTAAAAAGACTTTGGCTTTAAGAAGGTTTTTTGCCTCCTAGAATCTGAAGTGTTATTTATTCTCTCCCTTAGGAGCTACTTACAGATTGCTGTTTAATCCCCTTCTCCCAGTATCTCATGCATTGAACTAATACCATTCAAAGAGGTAGTAACTTGTCTCTAGTTGAAGCGAGTGGTTGTTTTCTTGTTCATACATTGGAAAATCATATTCATAGTTGTAAAGACAGCACCTCACTGGGTCTTTATGGTCAGTTACTTCTCTAACATGGACCCTAAAACTTGCTAATGTTGACATTTTTCCTGTGACATCTTTGAATTCTCTATTAATTGAATTCAGTGTTGGACATTTCATTATTTTACCTAGTTCTGGTGTAAGGATGGCTGCAAAAAATTCCATGCTACACTTATAATTCTTTTTCTTCTGCAACTTCTTTTGTACTCAAAGAACTATGCAACATTAATATTACCAAGCCAGGTATCATAATTCAATATATTAGAGACTCTTAAAGCCAGATTAGCTCGCCAGTTCATTTAAAAATTTGAGCTGCATGACTTCTTTTATTCTGCCTTTTGTTTTCAGTTGCTTGTATCATTAGGAAACCATCATCTCTGCAGCTGACGTTTTTTAGGCTTGGTCTTTGCTGTAAAATGTGTGGTTTTGTTGGGTGTTTTTATTATTTGGATAAAGTTGGTTTGACCGTTTTCAAGCATAAATAAAATGAATAAATGTTGTCCCATTTTAAGGTTCCTGACTTTTTAGTGCAATTTTAAATATAAATAGGCAAAATATGATGGAAATAGTTGAAATAGAATGAATGTTTTTCAGAGGATGTAACTCTTCTTGGTAAATGCTTCTTTACTGTAAAAAATGTGAGGTCAGACTTCACCAAGCATAAGCAAGTACTAGAAGAATTAAGGAGCAATGCCCTGAGAAATCTCAAAATATGGTTGATGGTAAGAAAAGACTAAATGTTTGTTTGTTTGTTTATTTGTTTAATGGGGTCCTCAATTCTCATTCTATAAATGCTTGATACCTTCATAAACAACCCTACCTGGAAAAAATCCTAGAGTTGGAGAGTACTAAATAAAGGGTTGGTTACTTCTAGAGAACAATCTGGATTGCCTGATTTAAATGGCCACAGTCCAACAAAATATATGTTAATATATCCAATATGAAATAAGACATCTGTGAGGAACAAATGCAGATCATACCTTCAAGACAGAAAAAACTCTGTCTTGGAAACAGACACAGAGAAATTTTCATGCATCCTCAACAAAATATCATAGCTTAAATGCTATTCAGGTTCATATGTACACAAATAAGTTGAGAAATTTTGTGTGAAGCACTGACTTAAAATTAAAATACAAAACTCCACAATCCAAGACTTCTAGAATACTGTGTCCCGTTTTGATGTTAAAGTGTGAGAAGGGAGGGGAAATAAGAGATGGAAGGAAAGCCACAAAAATGAACAAGGACTTGCTTAAACAGTAAAGTAAACAAGACTCTTAGAAATAAGTCATCTTTCTGAAGCAGGAGTTGTATCCAAATGAGGAGAATAGGAAAGAGCATTAACTTTGGCAAGTTAAATATAAACCATAATGAGGTAGACCAAAAAAAATGTTGAGGAACAACTTTATAAAGACATTAAAAAAAATAATAAAGCTTTTTGTCTAACTGTCAAAAGCAGAAAGCCTGTCAGAGACCCCAATGAGCTGATAGATATTCATAATATTACATGTGAGCTAAGGGAAGGTAAAGCTGTAGCAGAGAAGTTATTTGCATTGCTATTCACTGCAGAACAGTTCCCATGAGGGGCCTTCATTTCCAGGGGACAGGCTGGGGAAAACTGACAGAAGGTTGACGTTTTGGAGCGAATCAGCACAAAGAACTGCTAGGAAAAGTTCTCACTTTGTGAAGAACTCGGTGCTGGAGTTGCCGAGTTACACACGGTTGTGTATAATCATTGCTTAAATTGGCCTCAGAATGCAAGAATGAAAAGCAGTTAAACGTGCTGGGCTTTTCAAGAAGGGCCTGTGGAGCATTTGGAAAACTGGGAACTACCAGCGAGCCTGGTTTCTGTATTAGGCTCCTCTTAGAACCTATAAAGAAAGAATAGAATTAGTGTTCATTCGCAGGAATAAAGGTGATGACAGAGGGGAGACAAGTTGTCTTCTGCAGCAGGAATTCCTGCCCCGTAAATCTGCTCGTGTTGTTTGAATGATTGGATAAGCATTTGATAAAGGTGATTTAACTAATGCAGTATGTCTGGATTCCTTCTTCTCAACAAAAAAAAACCCACATAAAAATCCCCGAGCAAACAGAAAACCCCCCAAAAAATCCCACCGAAGACCAACCAAACCCTTGGTGTTTCAAAGACTTTTGAAAAATTAAATTGGTGTAGTCCTGTAGTGATTAGGTAGTGACTATGTAAATAAAGATTAGAAACTTTATAGGAAAAATAAGATATATAGTATATGGAAAAAAGTAAAATTGGACATTTACAGGGATGTTACCCCTGGAGCCTTCGGGAGAAAGAGTGCTGGGATCTCTGCTGTTCCAAGTGCTCATAAACTGTCTGGAATGGAGGATGAGTAATAAAGCACTGACACATTTTTCCAGGTGGTAAGATCAAAAGCTGACTGTGAGGAATGTCAGAGGGATCTCGCAGCAGTAATTGATGGGGCAAGAAAATAGCAAGCCAAATTAAGTTCTGATAGATATAAGATAGTGTTTGTTGAGAAGATTGATCTGACAGTGTATATCTAATGATAAACTTAGTTACGCCTTGCAAATTGGGCAAGAGATCTTGGAATTACTGTGGTTTGTTCTGGGACTTATCGACCAGCAGTTCTTAAAAGACTGTGGACATATTAGGAGATAAATGCAGGAAGCCCAAGAATATGTTATGACACTATGTGAATACCTCCATCTTCAATAACCCATCTAATTCTCTTTGACTGCCTTTGAAACAGATTTAGAAGAATTAGCAATGTATAGTGGCAATAAAGGTGAAGCAAAAACATGAAGCTATTTCCAAGCTTGGAAAGATTGAATAGACTTACTTTCCAGTTTGAGGTGTAGAGCAAGCAGAAGATATTCACAGGTCTGTGTAACATAGTGAATCACATGGTTTGGCAAGATTTGGAAGTATTAAATGCAAATATGGTGCACCAGGTTTAAAATAAAGGTGAGTGCTATTTCATGCTATTTCCAGTTACATTTTCTTGAGAATGTGTTCCATAGTGGGCAAAAAATAAAAAAAAAAAAGAGATTGACTTGTTCTATAGACTTTAAGTATTCAGCAACAGTCATGGAACTCTCTTAAGTTACAGGAGGCTGGAACCTAAATGGATGTTGAGGGCAACATGTAGCTTTATATATTCCCTGTTTCTTAGGCTTTTTACTGAAATATTGACCAATGCACACAGACATGGAGCATTGGGCAAAATGCACGTCTGGTCTAATCTGTTGTTCCCTTGCATGTGTTTTCTGTGTTTTTTAATAATTATGCCATAAGGGCAGAGAGACATATCTACAGAAAAACGTGACGTGATCTGAGTGACAACAGTGGCTGCCCACGACGAGAAATGGATGTGTGATCTCAGTCCTGCATCTCAGTGTGGGGCTGCCCAGCTCGCTGCAAATGAAGGGGTTATCTCATTTTTCACTTTCCAGGACAATACGATTCTGCCTCTTGCAGATCAACCAGCAGCAGACAATGACTCAAAGTGCCTGAAGGAATTTTACTGGGTTTGGAATGGTACAAAGAAAATGACAAGCATCTTTGGTAAAATGGCATCAGTAGGTCAGTGAATTAGACCACTATGTTCAGTGAATTGCACTATTTTAGTAGTTCTGAGGTCACCTACAAGTCTGGAGCTCGTGCTTTGACCTTTTTGTAGAAGGCACTAACTTGTGTTTGCAGTGG